GGTCGCGGATATCGCGTGTCGCGCGCGACGAACATCGCGCTGGTGTGCAGCTGGCATAAGTGCACGGTGTAAACGTAGACATTGAATAGGTATAAAAATAATAGGGAACTAAAGTAACGGTAAAAGTAACGGCTAAATTCGTTACCGTTACTGTAAAAATGTAACGACGTTACCGTTACCGTTACCGACAGAAAAAAGTAACGATCGTTACCGAAAAAAGTAACGAAAACGGTAACGGCGTTACAAGTAACGCGTTACTTCCCAACCCTGGGTTTTATCAGCATTGGACTAAGTTTATTTTCTAATAAATGAAAAGTTTTTGGTGTCATACGAAAATGTTCTTTGAACTGACGTGCTGTGAACCTTGGTATTACATTATTTACGTAATTTTCTATTCGGATTACTTTTTTTGTTCGTCCTCTTAATCGAGAAACTTGCGTACGAATAATTATGTTTAATAATTCTTCCGTTTTACTTTCGCTTTCGCTACTTGAATCCAGAGCCAAAACAGTCTTTAATATATCATTACTCGCAATGTTTATCAATAAAATTTTTTCCATTTTACCGACGTCTGAAATTAAAAGAAGCAATTGTGAGGTCTTTATTTTTTAAGATTGTTGGAAACATTTCCGAACCTGTAGCGGTATTTACTTAATTCACAGATTCTTGGATCGTAATCTATTAAGCCTCGTATACATAATCGCACAAACTGTCGCAGATCGCGAACTTGTTGCGACAGCCAATCTAAAGCGTCAATTTTAATATTGGCGAATCAGATTGGCTGTCACAACAAGCTTGCGACTTGCGACTCAGCCTGGCGACTATTGTAGACGAGGCTTTAAACAGTACCACGAAGAATACCGACACGAATATACAATTGTATGTATCCGCCACATGTACGTTACTCTACCCTGTTCCAAATTATTCCAATATAGTAGCTAACTCTGACTTACTCTGCCCCCCACTACACGGGGTTCTATAAAGTTAATCGAGTAAAGTTTTGGAACGCACCCCAGCAACGCTATGTAGATTTTATGCGGGAATATCAGAGGATGGAACATATGGAACTACTTTCCGAGAACGGAAATCATGGCGTAGTGAATTACTTGCCACATTATGGAGTAACACGCGAAGAAAGTACTACAACAAAAATCAGAGTGGTGTTTGACACCTCCCGTAAAACGTCCTCAAGTCAATCGCTGAATGATTTATTGATGGTGGGCCCTAAGATCCAACAAGAGCTCATGGAAATTTTGATTCGGTTCCGACAGCATAATTATGTCTTGATCGCAAACATTTCTAAAATGTTCCGTCAGATCAAAATAAACAAAAGGGATAGAGCCCTACAGAGAATCCTCTGGCGAGATGATCCCAGAGATACCATTCTTAAGTTTGAGTTAACAACGATAACTTATGGTACGGCCTCTGCACCGTATCTTGCTCAAAGGTGTCTTAAACAACTAGCACTCGATAACTCTCAAACGTATCCAGGAGCAGCAGCGACTATTCAGAATGATTTCTACATGGACGACTTGATTACAGGGAGTGATTCTGTATCGCATCTACAGCAGCTAAAACAAGAAGTAGTGAAGATTTTGGCCACAGTTGGACTGGAGCTCCGGAAGTGGAACTCTAACGTGTTGGAATTATTATCAAACTCCGAAAACGAAAGGCCTCTTGCATCCAAGGAGGAAGTGAAGACGTTGGGAATTCATTGGAACGCGCAGGAAGATATGTTCAAATTTAAGGTGACAATACCTAGAGAAGTTTGTAAGTCTAAACGGGGTATTCCTCTCTTTCCGTCATTGCTCAAATTTACGATCCATTGGGTCTCATAGGGCCAGTCATAGTAAAGGCCAAACTGTTCATGAGAAGCCTGTGGAAATTAAGCGTGAATTGGGATGACAAATTACCAAGTGAATTTATGCTCGAGTGGAATTCCTACAAGGAAAGACTGGAAGTTATGGAAGAAATACAGGTACCACGTCAAGTAGTAATCAAGAACGCCATCAAGGTGGAAATGCATGGATTCTGTGATGCGTCGCAGGTGGCTTATGGAGCCTGTATTTATTTGTGTTCTATAGATACAACGGAAAAAAGAACCGTACGATTACTAACGTCTAAATCACGTATAGCGCCCATGAAGATTATCTCAATCCCAAGATTGGAATTATGCAGTGCAGTACTACTGGCGAATCTCACTAACAAAATAAGGAGTGTTATGACATTCCCGATAAGCAAGTATGTCTATTGGAGTGACTCTAGTATTGTTATCCATTGGATTCGAGGTGAGCCAAACAATTACAAAGTCTTTGTAGCGAATCGGATGGTAGAGATCCAAGGCTTAACACGTCAAGAGGAATGGCTTCATGTAGGAACAAAGTCTAACCCTGCGGACATGCTGTCTCGAGGTATGGATCCTCGGGAATTACCCTATTCAGAAATATGGTGGTCCGGGCCATCGTGGTTACAAGCAAGCCCGGATCAATGGTCACAGGAATTTATTATGGAACGACAAGACGGATTAGAAGAAAGATCCCGAGAGAGGGTCTTGGTAACGATCCATGAAGAAGGATGCAACCTGTTAGACAAATTTTCGTCACTATCCAAATTGAGGCGGGTGGTAGCTTACTGTTATAGATTCGTGGAAAACGCAGGAAAGTCAACGCAACGAAGTAGTGGACCCTTAAAGGTAGAGGAATTGAGAAGAGCTAATATCGCGTTAATCAAGATAGTTCAGCGTCAAGCATATTCTCAAGAAATTAAAGAGTTGAGCAAGGAAGGAAATTTCAAGAGTGTAGCCAGAAGTAGTCGCATCATAGCGCTAAATCCATTTTTAGACGAGCAAGGAATCCTGCGAGTGGCGGCCGTCTGAAGAATGCGGAACTGTCATATGATCAGCGATTTCCCATTATCCTTCCTTCCGATAGTCCTTTTTCTACATTGCTCATCCGCGAGAAACATTATCAGTATTTACATGCAGAACTCAACACATTGAGTGCCATCATTCGCGAGAATTATTGGATTGTATCGGCCCGCAGAAAAATTCGTGGTGTATTACGCCGATGTATATTATGTTTTCGTAAATCTCCGGAAAATATAAGTCAACTTATGGGTAATTTGCCAGCAGTGCGGGTAAATCCGGGACGTCCATTTAATCATATGGGTGTTGATTACGCCGGCCCGTTTACAATTAAGATATCGCGTAATAAATCGGGCAAAGTATACTTGGCTGTATTTGTGTGTTTAGCCACTAAGGCTGTTCATTTAGAAGTCGTTTCTGATTTGTCAACCGTTGCATTTATTAACACTTTGAAACGATTCGTCGCAAGGCGTGGTAAAAGCAGTCACTTGTACTCAGATAACGGTCGCAATTTCGTAGGGGCCAGAAATGAAATGAACGAGTGGGTAAGGTTTATCCAAAGCGAACTATTAAAGAACGAGGTTTTAGAGTTTACTGCTGAACAATCAATTAGGTGGACATTCATACCCCCATATTCTCCTCATGTTGGAGGGATATGGGAATCAGCCGTAAAGGTAGCTAAATCTCATATGAAGGCAGTAATGAATCAGAATAGTTTGACATTTGAAGAATTGCCTACAATATTTACTCAAATTGAGGCTATACTAATTTCGAGGCCAATAACTCCAGTCTCAACGGACCCCTCAGATTTATCGACACTTATGCCTGGACACTTTTTAGTAGGCGCGCCCTTAACGGCGATTCCAGAACCCAATCTTGAGCAGATACACTTAAATCGCTTATCGCGCTTTCAACTACTATCTAGTATTATACAAGGCTTCTGGAAGCGTTGGTCAAGAGAATATGTTTCTAATTTACAAGTTAGACAAAAATGGAAAGAACGTAAAGAAAATCCTAATCTTAAGATAGGTGCTCTTGTATTGCTACGAGATGATAACGCCCCCCCGCTTCAATGGAGATTGGGTCGCATAATCGAGCTCATTAAAGGACAGGATGGACTAGTTCGGATGGTGGAATTGAAAACCCAGTTAGGGTTAACTCAACGAGCGATTCAGAGAATTAGTGTATTGCCATTAGAATAAATATTTTTTGGTATTCGTTTGTTTTTTGTTTTTGAAAGTCAAGCCTTTCAAGGCGGGCAGGATGTCGCAGAGCGCTAAAGGTGTGTAGAGCGAGAGATCGATAGATCGATAGATCGAGTGTGTGTGGTAAGAGCGAGAGAGGTGTGTGAGTATTATTATTATTGTGTTGTATTAAAAGATAGGATGTAACGGATATGTTTCGAGTTGTTGTATAAAGAGAATAAAAAAGGCGTTCAACCAAAGAAAGAGAAAGTTATATATTCATACCCCCAAAGGTTGAGATACATAAACCATGAATCAATCACCAACCATTTGACTTTAAAAAAAAAATTTAGATTTATTTTTATAATAAAAAGAAATATTATTTTAAGACGAATTCAACCATGTGTGATAAAGTTATTTTCCAAAGTACCATTTTTGAGAAATAATTAAAAACGCCTCTATACGCGCGGCATCCGTACTCCTTCACGCAGCACGTTCACAATATTGCATATATTCGCATAAACAGGAAGGAACGATGTAAACATATCTATTTTCGGAACTTTGCGAACATCTAGTCATAGTTTGTATCACGTACAGCTAGACAGCATTTACGTAACGTCTTCATGATAACATAGTATCAAGATCGAAAGTCGTGCATTATATAATTATAAGACCAAAAGTGCAGAGTATACGTCACACTCATATGAATTACATTTATTGTTTGACGTACAAATTGAATTAATATCTTGTAAAATCGTATTTCTTTAGTGCGGTGTTGCTTGAATTTAAACCAACAAGAGAAATTAAATCGTAAAAGAATCATAGACGAGAAACGATTGAACGTAATAAAGGAGTAGGAGAATATTGGCAGTAGGATTTGTACATAATTCCCAGCAACATGAAATGCTGTGCTACGCGAATGTCATGGTCAGTTCAGACATCGTCAAAAATCGTATTAGTAACATCATGTACCAGTGTATCAGATGCTACGATTTTGCAAGAATATATTTAAAATATTTAATATTTATATTCTTCGTATAATTGTATTTTTATCTTGTAAACAGAAGGTTTGTTTTCTGTTCCTGCACCGGTTGTACTCGTTCAAAAAGTGTACATTAAAGCGTTTTCTGTTTCCAAAATGGCATCAGCGACGGTATTCTATCTTCCAGTGCAACAGAACTCAGTGCACGAGTTCACTGTACTGGCTGCACCAGGTCTGGAGTTAGTGCAAGCAGTACAAGCACAAGTGTACACTAGTTCAGTCACAGAAAATAAATCTTGTACAAATAGTGCGAGAATTGGTAATTATTTAGAAAACACCTTTCGCCTTCAATTTCAGTGAAATTATGCTCATTTGGCGCGTTTTTGTAAGAAATGAAAGAATCTGGCAGTAAAATGTAGTGCCTAGTCCCGCGAATCGAGATATTAAGCGTTGAAGTTGATGACTATTGAGGTTAGGAAATCTGTCAGCTGCGAAATATCGCGATGAAAGCATGTGCTGCAATCACATTTTCATGCTTTATGGCTACAAGTGCATACGTTTTTTCAGTAACTTGCTTCTACAGCAATATATTAACATTTGTTCAATATTATTCAAATCGTCTCCCTTTCATCGTTTAGGAGTTTACAACTTTTCGCACATAGCAAGAACAGAGCAAGCTTTCGTTTTGAATAAAAATGCATCGAATGAGCCTAATTTCATTAATATTGAAGGTGAAGTAACGATTCTAAATAAATACAGACTAAAATACGTGTACATAGCGCTGCATTAAGTCGGTGTGACATATTTCCTAACCACAATGTCGTCACCTTTTTAGCGCTTAATATCACAGTTTGCGGGACTGGCATGACATTTTACGGTCAGATTTTTTTGTTTCATGCAAAAATGCGACAAATGAGCATAATTTTATTAAAATTGAAGGTGAGGGGCGTCTTCTAAATAATCCGAGAATTTATGAGTAATAAAATGATAAATACATGTAAATAATAGCAAGCCTACATATAAAAACATTTTGTGTCATCATTATCTTTAATTAAGCATTTTTTTAAAAAGAATTGCATTCATTTTCATCACACGAATCTAACACTTTTATGTAAACGATATGGGACGCCATTTTTATTTTGCACTAAAACGTTTTTTATTCTTTGCCTGCACGCTTACACTCGAACACAGTTCTGGATTGCACTAGTTCAATTCAGTTCAATTCTAGTGCAATCTTCATGCACGAACAGAAAACAAACCTATAATGTATTATACAAAATTCTTATTTCTAGTATTTTTGTTACAGTACTTAATAGAAACATTCTTTGTTACTACTTTTGTGGGAAAATTATTAACAGTTTATACATTACATACATACGTTTATATATCACATGTATCATTGAGTTCCTCAATGAGAAGGATTTAAAAAGATACAATAAACATCATATAATATATACTCGTCATTTTAAGACTAATTGTAAAATTAACATTTAATTACTCAAGAGTTAAGAGCCATGAATTTATTGTATTTATATCGATAATACAGTGACAAGTAAAACTTCGTGTGAACGCTATACAATAATTTGTTGAAAAATTCTCATTGTCATAAGACATGTGTATCTGATCCTTACTAACTAATAATTAAAATATTCAATCAATATATATATATAAACATAATATAACGGAACGGAACAAACTATAAAAATACGATGTTTCGACCTAAGCACGAGGTCATCTTCAAAGTAAGAATAAACCAAATTTATACCACAGATGTGTTAAAGTAAAAATTCTGGTACGTGCATATCCAAACCGTCCAGACTAACTGCGAACCATATAAACTTCCGACAATAGCTACACGGATAGCACTCCATTGCGAGCATCAGATATTCGTGTCTATGGTCTCAAGTTGTCATTCGCATTACATTTCAAATTGTGATCTATACATAACGTTATAAAACTAGTCATAATAATTTGTTTGTGTGTACAATAATTTTAAAATAAATTAACGTAACGAAGCTATGTTAGTATGTACAATAATTTTTAAAAAAGGAACGAAATGGCTCTAAACCCGCGGTTATTCGATACAATCTGAAACGTGAAATCTCCAATATCATAATTTAAATTTCTCGGCAAACGCGCATTCAATAAATTTCAAAATTTAACAATAAAATAAATTATAATTTTAGTCAATAAATATCATACTTCCATTCAAATGTACACCATAAATTTCACACCATAACGCCACTTATGTTAAACAAATCAAACGCGAGTCGAGCTCCTTTGCTTCTATCGGAATCATTCCAGATAAATGTTAACTGTCGCAAGAACATTCTAGAAACAGTCATGAGAGACTAGGAAGGGGGCACGATATGAGTGGGAGAATGATGTATACATGCCGGGTGGGAGACATTAGAGCGACTAGGAGGAGGGTAAGCGATCAAGAATGGGCAGATAGACATCAGGAAATGAAATTGTATCATTCTGCATATTCAATCCGTTAAGCTGTTTTTTAATAGGTATCATTTCTGAAGTTATTCTCTTATTATATGAGGATTCAATATCCAGAATCTTCACATCTTCCCAATCAAAATCGTGATCATGCTCAATTCTATGGCTAAACACCACTGACGGAGACCCCGTTTTTTTATCAATGTCCGTCCGATGTTCTCTCACTCTCGTTATCAGCTTCCTCTTCGTCTGTCCTACGTAGCTCACATCACAATCGTGACAAGAAATCTTATAAATAACACCCTGTGACAATTTATTCAACTTATCTTTACCCCGCTCAATAAATTTATTTAATGTATTGGGTATCGTATATGCTACCTTTTTATGTATATGGGACGCTATGCAAACGATTCAGAAACAGATTTAACATAAGGAACGGTGAAAAACTTATCCACCGTCAAAGGCGAAGCTTTTCCCTGACGTAAATTGTGAGAGTGATATTTAGTCTTTTAATAATTGTAAAAAAAATCAGTGTAAGAGGATAATCATTCTTCAGTAACACTTCAATGGCTTTTGTGAGGTTTATTTGGTGAAATTGTTGATGAGCCAATAACAAAATCTGATCAACTAAATCTGGAGACACTGGTAGTGTCTCGGCGCTAAGCTGCGCGAACCGACGAGTTGCGGCAGATCGAAATTATAGGATCTCAATAACGGCTGAACCGATCGCGTTCTATGTATGCTCAATCGATAGCCACCACACAGATTGTATGATAAAAGTACTTTTATTTTTTTCTATGTGCCCTACGAGCGGAGATATCGCGACGCAAAGTCCGGTCTGTGATGAATTTCACCTCATTTTAAGAAACGTCGTCGTCATTATTGTTATTATTGTCGTTATTATTATCATCGTCGAACCAGGAGAAAATGTCCATCTCGTTTTTTCGACAATAGATGGCTTTTGACTTAACCTAGCGATGGCAGCATTGCACATTCGAACGTGATCAACCACACATGACGGCTGTGATAATCAGCGATGGCAACATTGTTACATATATACGATGTGACGTGTTATAAGTGATAAAATTAATAAAATAAATTAAAATAAAATATTAATTATAATTAAGATGAAATATCGACATTGTCGTTAAGGTCTAGGTATTTACCGCGTCGAGGAAGAGGGTGTCTAGGTCGAAGAAATGGGTGTCCAGGTGATCGCCATCGAGGAAGTGGGTGTCTAGGTGTTCGCTATTGGGGAAATAGGTGTCTAGGTATTCACCGTCGAGGAAATGAGTGTCTAGGTGTTCGCCGTCGAGTAAAGAGTGAAACTTCTTTATTCACTAAACGCGCTTACGTGTTTCGGCTCACATTTTGAGCCTTCCTCAAAGCAAACACAAAATAACATATATAAACTAAAAGTTATCCTGTCATGGTGAGCTCCCCTACATCGAGAATTTAAATGCTGGGATTAACCAAAAAAGAAAGAGAAAGGAAAAATGAAAAGGGGGAAATATTGAAAATGTCGAATTAGAAAATATGGAAATTAATTTATCAAAAAACTTTAAAAATATAATTAATTATCCCGCAA